CTTTGTTTGAGAGATGCGGCTGGAAATAAAGCAGGGATTGTTGGCAATGATTTTGTGCTTGAGCATTTAAGTTTCAACGCTCATGGTTTGAGAACTCTGTCGGTCTGGGGATTGGGTTGAAGGTGGGGAGGGGTGACTTCAGCTTTATGATTGAAGGGCAACCTCCATCCACAACAGGATACTCAACCCCAAACCCAGCACCCTCAGGACTCGGGTTTAGGTGGATGTCAGGTTGTGAGCTCGGGGCTGATGTCAGGCAATGAAGGACCTGTAATTACAATGGCATAATCGTCAAAAGACGTGCATGATCTTCCATTCCTTGAACAAGTGAAAGCATGGGGGTTCCTAGATTGTTAAATCGAAAACCCCGCAACCCACCCCACGATCCCTAACCCACAAAACCCAAAAGCCCAACATCTCGATGATTTCAGTTCACGCCCAATGCTTCAACGCAGTTTCGACATCCTCTGATCCGGGCTCCCCGGCACAGTGCGACCGTATCCGGCAGGCAGAGTCGTTGGCCCGGGACAATCGCAAACTGGCTCCGTCCTGGCAAACAAGGCACTGTCTTGGGGGGCTTTGGATTTAATGTGTTCCTAAACCCTTAACCCTGGACCCTGAATCCTAAACTCTAAACCATAAATCCCAATAGCCTGGCCTGCACCCTTAAACTTCAATTCCTGATGCGAGAGTCTATGGATCTTCACCACAACACAGAACTTTCACCTTTACCCGTAACCTGCTGAGAGTTTCTCGGAAGTCCCTGACCCGGCGGCTTTGGGCTTCAGGGATTACGATATATCGAGCTCTGAAGAGCTTCTCAAGGCTGCAAAGGCTGTAATTGCGAGGCCTGAGGGTTTCGGCCTTGCGGTTCGGGTTACTTGGAGGTTCATGGGTATTAAGTAGGGTAACTTTGCGTATAACCCATGTTAGGAGACTCATAACCCCACATATTACTACCCTAGCCCCTAAACCCCTATAAAACACTAAACCCTAAACCCTATAGAACCCTTAAAGGAACCCTCAGCCCCTTATAAATTATAGACCCACTTACAACTAACTATGAACCTCCAAGTAGAGGTGGAAGTTATGCGCCCAACCCCCTCAAGCCCAGTTAATGGGGCAGCTGCTGTTTCCACGTCAGCACTCTCGGTAGTCTAATTAATTCCTTCTAATCCGTAGGAACCTACCTATCGTAGGAATCTACCTGTATACATATATATATATATATGAACACATACATACATATGTGTATGTGTGTGTCTATACATATGAATATATATATATATATATATATACACACACATATGTATGCATGTGTATGTGTGTATGTACGTGTGTCTGTGTGTGTATATATATATATATATGTATATCATGCGAAACAAAACTAGGTCAGACGCAAAACTCGATCAGAAGCGACAGCATAAAGCATTATCAGATGCGGGAAAGTCCCCCCCAAACCCAAACCCCCCAAACCCCCATAATTCACCCTGAACATGACCTGGCGCCAGCCCTCATAAACGCCACGAAAACCGTAATGTCTTATGCAGGGGGCTTAATCTGTAGAATAGGGTTTTGGGGGTAAACTATAGTGGATGGATGACAAGGAACCCAAAAGAGTAACTATGCCGGCTTCTATTTTTGCTATACTTGAAGGTCCGGGGGCAGGTATAAGTGGGATCATGAGTCCCCTAATATGGGTTACAGGCCAGAAAGTTGGAATATGATTATCCTAAACCCTTTATGGTAAATTATAGGGTATCCTACCCTGAAACCATATTCCAACTTTCTGGAGTTCCCGATATAGGTATAGTATTACATAGGAGGAGCTCAGTGTCTGACCATTCGATGATGCCATTGGGATCCGTGTTCGTGGCCGAGCAGGTGGCGAAGGTTGTGCTTCCGATGAGGGCCTCTGTTGAAGCTTCTTGCTTCATGCCCAGAGAGCCCAATACCCCTTAATTAAGCAATATAGCTTAAATCATAATATGAAGCCCCTTATAATTTAAGCTACATTCATTAATTAAGGGGTATTGGGCTCTCTAGGTGGCTTTCAAGGATTTGGGCTTACCTTGCCGGGTTTATGTCCGATCTATGCTTTAGGGTTCATGGCTTGGCTTGGGATGTAGGTGTGTGGGTTCACTAGAATGTGGTTTGGTGGTAAACTATACTATAATAAGGAAACCTCAACAGCCTACTCTAATCATTAAGGCCCCTACATTACTATGTTAAAGGTTTTGGGGGAACCCTCAACCGAAATCCTGAAGGTGCAATGACCCCGATGACCCTCGGAAGCATCCACATTGAACCAAAGCTCTCTCTGTATACACATGCTGACACGTGAAGTAGCGGATAAGATACAGGGCATAAAACTTGCCGTGTGTTCAAACTCTCTGGCTTATGTATAGAAACACACATGTGTGCGTATATGTATGCACGCATGTCTCTATCTGTCCATCCAGCCATCTATGCATCTATCCATCCATCTACCTATCTATCTTTATCTACCTGTGCAAATCTTCTTCACAGTCTGCACGTATGTATATGTAGATGAATATGTATATGTCACACATAAATACAGAATGCATATGTCCAGGCTACATAAAAATAAGGCATTGCACTACATAGTACATATATACATGTATGCACAAACGGTAAGCGCGTGCTGGCGCACCCCGGAACCCCTCCTAAATCTTGCAGGATCACGACGCGAAATGGGGGGCAACCGAAACTCAAGTTGGTCTCCCTAAACGCAGCCCGAAGCCTCATGCACAACACAAGCACGACTCTTGGTGTGTGTTTCCTGTAGCTTTCACTCTTAGAAGTATCAGGATTCTAGTTATATCCTCATGTTTGATGTTTTGACCCATCTTCATTAACTACGATTACTCTGATCACTTCATTAATCTTGGCAGTCCTGTTAATGATTATGATTCTTAGTCTTCTTATTCCCACCCCCGGGCGCCGGGCGTAGGGTGCATGGCAGCCGATGAAGCAGAACTCACCAGGCATGAGGCCCAGGCACTCCGTGAGGTCAATCATCTGGCGACACAGAGCTCGCTGAAGATGGGACTTAGCAATGTATGGCTATAAGTACCTTAATTGGGGTTGTAAGTATAGTTACCTTAATAATAACCGTAATTACTAAGGCTTCGGAAAAAGGGGTGTCTACAAGGGTTCTCTTTGGGTTCTTGAAAGTTTCAAGCAGTGTTCTCTCAGGGTTTCAAAACATTTCTAGAAGGGTCTCTATAAGGCCTCTGTTTAAGGTGAAGGGCTCGGAAAAGGGCTTCTACAGGAATTCTTTGCGGGTTTCTCTCAGGGTTCTGAGACGGGTTTGAACATTTTCTGCCAGTTTCAAGGGGTTCTTTGAGGGTTTCCAAAGCCTGCTTACAAGGTTCTCAAAAGGGTTCTGGAGGATTCTATAAGGGTTCTAGAAGATTCTATAAGGGTTCTAGAAGATTCTATAAGGGTTCTAGAAGATTCTATAAGGGTTCTAGAAGATTCTATAAGGGTTCTAGAAGATTCTATAAGGGTTCTAGAAGATTCTATAAGGGTTCTAGAAGATTCTATAAGGGTAAGAGCAAGGGGTGGGGTTTGGGCCTGTTAAGGTGTAGGGGTTACCAGGGTTCAGCATCCATGAATTCACAACTCCCTCTTTGAAAGTACTGCTTTAAACAGGGCTTGATAGGTGTTCGGGTTTCACAGGTTCTGGGGCATATGAGAAGCGGACGTTGGAGATGGCGTAATGAGTGTAATGCCGCCACCATGTCGCCACATCATCCTGAAAAGCCCGAGATCTCAAATCTTCTTCGGCATCTCGTTCTGGAAGTGTTAGACACGAACGTCCCAGTCACACTCAGTCCTGACTTGACGTGAACCCGGAACCCTAAACTTTAAACCCTAATTCAACCCGAACCTTAAGCCCTACAGTTTGAAAATTTAGGGTTTAGCGTTCGCAGGTTATGGGATGGGTTTGATTCAGCCACGACTTACCAGAGCTACCAACTGCCCAACTAACAACGCCCAAGCACAACACCTGCAACAAAGTTCAAGTCCGCTAGCCGCCCAAGCCCCAAATCCATAAAACCCGAATACCCTTGCCCCCAAAGTCTCAACCGTAACTCCTACATCCTAAACTACTATTTGCTTAAGAACCACCAAAAAATAAAAAATATATTCCTTATGGGGGCAGTATAGGGATTATTATTTTTATTTTTTGGGGGTTTCTTAAGCAAATAGTAGTAAACCCTACTAGCCCAACCCCGAACCAGAAAGCCGCCAACAGGCCCGGGCAGCCCGCAAAAGCGTGGGGCGGGAGGAGGATATGACCATTATCATAGTCAAGTTTGCTTCGGGTTAGGGCTTCGGCTTCATGGTTACGGCTCGGGTTTTTAGGCTTCGGGGCTCGAGGCGTTTTGTGGATTCTGATATGCGTTTAAGATTCCATTCGAGGTTTCTGGCGGTTGGGTCTGATGCGACTACTGCACGACTGTAACCGTTCATGAACTTACCAGGCCGTTCGTTGGTTCGTCGCTGATGCAGTAATGTTGGGGCCTTAGTACTAAAAATAATTAGAATAAGGTTCTTGTATAAATAGATACAGATATAAATATATATATGTATATGTACACACACACATATGTACATGTGTATATATATATATATAAATAGATACACTTATATGATACAATAGTTATAAAAAGGAACCACCCCCCCCCCCCAAAAAAAAAAAAAAAAAAATATATATATATATATATATATATATATGAACGCCCCTATAGTAGGCAGAGATCTCAATGTTTCATTGGCAACTGGAATCGCCAAGGCCCAGCTTCCGTATAATGCCACCCAAACACCTGAATTCAAAAAGCTGGGTTCCTCTTGAGCTATTGAAGATAAGTTACCATAATAGGGATCTATAGCAAATATATAATACGTTTACCTTATAATGGTAACTTAAATTAAACCCCTTGGCAAGAACTCAAGAAGCATCGACAGGATTACGCAAGTGTCGACATCTGGCATCTTGCAAGGAACGATGGGCAAGCACCCCGACCTCACAAGGGCTTCAGTGTCGGCTGCAACGGACGCTGCCAGTAAAACCGCTGCAGAAAGGCCTAATGTAGGGGCTTGACTCATCAAACATGAAAGGCTACACCACGCAAGAACACGAACCCAGAGATCCCACTACCCCTTAATTCAGGAATATGCCTTAAAGCATAATATTAAGGCCCCTATAATTTAAAGAATACACACACCAACAGGCGCTCAGAGACAAACACACAGGTCTTTTGGTCTCTGGGTTTGAGGGTGTAGGTAAAAAGCAATCAGTCCTCTGAACGCCACACTCTCCCTCACAAAAAGACCGAGAAGCAACAAACACCCCACCAAGCTTACGTGTTAGATTTGGGGCTGCGACCCCAAGACTCCAAAAGCTAGGACTAGGAGCAGTCTTATGAGGGCCCTGCAGTTGTGTGATGGCCACGCAATTTTCGTCGATTTGGCAGGTCTCCACCACCTCGGACAAAAAGTTAGAATACTGACAGATCTGAGTCTGACAATGGCAGCATGAATCATCAAAAACAAAGCCACTGCCAGAGTCATGGTGAAACAACCATCGTTGAAAGAATTGCAGTTGTAAGGCTGGCAGCAGTACCCACAAGATCCACGAACCGTGAAGCAGCTATGAAAGCGCGACTCGCATAACCAAAGTCAGAACTTCCACGGTCATCATCATCGCAACAACCGCCATGAAAGTCATCATAGTCGTCATCAACATCATCAGCACTACCAGCAGCACCACCAGCAAGCGTGAAGTTCACCCCCTCAGGGCCATTGTCATGTTGGTGGCCACAGACATGCCAACCGAAAATTTATATCTCAGCAATGCAATGTTTCCAACAGCAACACGGGTGACCAACTTGATGTATGTAATAGTCACCGAGGTCAGAAATGCCTAATCAAGGAGCATCGGACATAGCTTCGTGAAGGTCTATGGTTTTCAGACTGTTTAGCATCTAGAGTTTGGGGTGCTCTCTTTTCCAGGGCCTTTGCGTGCAGATCCTGCTTTCCTAGAGTCCTTTCCGAAAATCACACATCCCCTCCCTCCCAAAAATCAAGCTATCAAGGTTAAAGCCCTGGGTTAAAGCCCTGTGTAAACCGAAAGGCCCTGAAGCGCCAAAACTGCCCAGGACTGAGATATCCGACCTCACCCGCGTAGCCGTCAGCACAAACAAAATAATCGCCGTCCCCATCTGAGCAGGTTTCCAGTTCAGTCGAGGGATTTGCGTTGGCTTCCTGCAGCTTTAGAGTCTAAAGTTACAAAGCTATAAAGGGTGAAGAGTCTCGGAAGTTTCTGTCTGTCTATAAACGGTTGGTGTTGTTCTGTTCAAAACAGTTCTACAAATTCCAACCCTTCGCAGAGGGTATATGTGCTCTTTTGGGCTTGACAGGGCCGTGCATGGTGTCGGGGCTTAAGACTTATATTTGAGGCTTCATGCACAGAGCTCTGCAGTCTGGCGACATGCGCCATGTGTGCGTGCATGACGGTTTTGGGTCTCCCCGTACACTTCTTACTGCTGTCCGGCTTTTGGACTTACGCGAATATTGCATCAGTGTTTCTGAACTGTTATGGCGGCGACCTCATCATCATAAACTCTACTGTGCCATCGCCACTACCACCGTTGTGATATTTTCGTTTGATCATCAGTACCCAGAATCTCAGAAAGTTCAAGGTTACTTGGACAGCACCCAGAGTTGACACCCATACTGAACTCCGCACAAGCCCCTGTAAGAGCTTTTTGCGGGCTTGCTCAAAGAGTATTTAGGACCTCGAGACTTAAGACTCTGTCAAACCGTACGGAGGAAATGCCGCGACGATGAAACCCGGTCAGTTCCGATGGGCCCCTGATCTGCACCATAGTGTGCGGTGGCGTTGCACAAGAACTCTGTATATGTATAGATATATAGACTAGACGACTCGGATGTTGCTAACATATTGCATGAGCATAAGTCTTGTACTCATACCCTAGTTACAAGTGCTGCTGTTGTCCTCTTCATGTTCCTAATACTTCCACACCTATTGGGCCGATTGGACCTAGTAATATAGCTGACATCCTCTGCGACGACCAGGCAGGCGGTCAAAGAGCAAAGGATCAACAACAAAACGAATTCTTCACCTACTGGAACCCTCCTTGAAGTCCGGTAAAGCCCAAAAAACCCATACTCCTCGCTGAATCTGATAATCCTGAATAGAAAGCCAAGGCAACGACAGCCAAGATTGTAGATGTCGGAAGCACGGGCGTAGCCTGTTCGGGGTGCCCCTATAACGCCCATTTTTGAATCTGCTGGCCTGACCTCGCTCTGTTCGCAGGATTTCTGCGGCTTTGCCTAGGTGCCGGTATGGTTCCTGAAGACTTGCACAAGGTCTAAGCTGCAGCTGCAGCTGTTCAACAGACTTCCGTTGGGCTTTACCTCACTTCCTCTAAGGCAGTATATGAGATTCACCTACAGATGACTGCTCCTCTGTCCGTCTAGACTGCGCCACTTCTCTGAAGACACAGATACCGGTACAACAAAGCCATAGCCTGCGGGTTTAGAGTTTGCCATGATGCATGCGGTGCAGTGAAATCTGAGGTTGTAGGGTAAGGGGCATAGTTTGCTAGACCTAGGAGTAACCTCGGAATAAAAAGGGTGCCCTTTTTGGTTTAATGGGGTTGATAAGGGGACCTAAACCCTAAAAAAGGGAATAAGGGCCTACTCTGGGTCCTAGTTTGGGAGAGTTGTAAGCTCCATTTGGTCATTTGGGTACTGGCTGCGGAGGCTTGCAGGAGCCAATCACAAACACTAACACTTCCCAACACAGCCGGGAGCAGAGATCAGGGTCCGCAGACATGACGGATAAATGTGTGCTTGCAGGAGACCAGGAGATCGAGGAATGTCGGCATCAGGAGTTTTCCTAGGGAGTCTCAGTAAGCCCGGACACCTGAACTGGCAAACCCTCAACCACTTGCAGCTCAAACCTACTACCTGCTACCCATGATCCTCCAAGTACGGTTTCAGCAGTCAAAGGGCCACGGCATCCAGCGAAGCTTGCAATTGGTTTCTAAAGGTTTAGGGTGTAGGGGTTAGAGTTGTTGCAGCTGTTCTTCAGGGCTCTCGGGCATACAATGGATACTCATGACTTCGTGGAATCGAAAACAAGACACAGCTCAATGCCTGCAACATACTGACCAAACATGCTGCCTAGAGAAAGCAGTAGCAGTACTTCTCCCAGCGCAAACTGTGCTGCTAATTGCTGCTACTACTGCTCCTGCTACTGCTACGGCAACTACAGCTACTACCACTCGCACCGCGTAGTTGTCAGTTCTATGACACCCGTTCTAAGAGACACTCGCCGTTCCCCCAGTCGGCCTGTGGGCACAGGACTCGGGTCAGTGCAGTTGTACCAGCACTTGGGTGGACTCCAGTCGATGCTCTTCCTCAGCCAGATATCGTAAAAATGACGGAAATCCCTTGCAATTTACCTATACTACTTTCGGGACTCCTTATTGTAGTTATAGTATAGTGAATGGGCCCCAAAACCCTATTCCCGAGATTAAGGCCCCAAAGGCAGAACATGATTAGCAACCAGACAGGACGATGATTATGAGGGTTGAGGGCAAGGCGTGCGGACGAGGAAGTAAAGTAGGATGAGGGCGATAATAGTCGCGAGGAGGATAAAGCTGAGGGCAGCACCATGCTTGATAATGGCGACTTCGATTGCTATGTCCATGATGGGCACTATCCTGCCTCTTGAGAGTGGCCTTGGTTAAACCCTAAACCCAAAGAACCCTAAGAATCTGGACTCGTCATGGTGGCGTTGCATGCCATGAAACTGGTCAAGGTGGGGATGGAGGCGGCGTGGTGGTGGTCCGATGTAATGGTGCAGAAGAAAGCTACTGTAATATTAGGGTTCCTTTAAAGGGTTCTTGTCAAGGGTCCTATTCGGGCTACTATGAGAGGTAATAATATTGGGGCCTTCATAGTTAGAATAGAGTTTTGGGGCCCATTATCCTACATTTATAATATGGAGCCCCCGAAATAGCATGGTAATTTTTAGGCCCCTATACTACCCCTGGCGCATCTTTTCCACGCGATGCCTTCAAAAGGTGTCCCGGCTAGTCTCATCCTGGAAAAGTGATGAAAAGATTTCTCATCAGCCAAGACGTAAATAGCTAAGCTTACAGTCTAGATCCCAAACCTTCAGCCAAAGAGTCTTATATAGGGACCGTATTAAGTAGAATGGAGTTTTGGGGCCCCTCATATACTATAACTATAACAAGGAATCCCCAAATTAGTATTGGTAGTTAGTCAGGCCCCTGTATTAAATCCCAACCCTAGCAGCTACAAAAGCCAAACAGCGGCTGTGATGGTCTACAGTAGTAAGGACTTATGTGCGCAACCGGCTCAGAGTTGGGCAATCGCATCCATCTCCTGGGTTCAGGGTTTAAGGCAGGGTTCGAGGGTTCAGGGGATGAGCGTGTTTTTGTTGAGCCAGGCTCCTCTGTTTATGGTTTACAGAGAGATCTGCTTCAAAAACGTGCTTGACAAGAAACCAAGACACTAAACCCCGACTTCCGCTATCCGCTACAGATGTTTCAGAGTGGAGCTGAGACCTCAACGGCTGGAGCATTGCAGAACTTTGCTCGGGGCTTTGGGGATGTTGGCTTCTGCATTCTGGGCTTTGGGGATCTGGGTTCTCGGGGCTTCGGGCGTAGGTGCGTTTCTTTGAAGCGATTCAGGGGGTCAATGGCTTCACAGCTAACAGTCGGGGGTCTTCCATGTCAGCGGCTAGCTAGAGCATTCACCTGGGATCTTGCTGAAGTTCAAAAATAAAAGATCCCTCATATCAACACTGAAGGAGCCCTTAGGGTAAAAGCCAGAAAGTTGGAATATGATTCTCCTAACCCTTCTATGGCAAATTATAGGGTATCCTACCATGAAACCATATCCCAACTTTCTGGAGTTCCCTTTATAGAGGAGTGATAGTCATGCTGACGGCGGCTTCAACCCTAGTCCCTGCACTCTAAATCCTGAACTCCCAAACGCAAACAAACCCCAACACTGAAGGAGCCCTTAAAGGATCCCTTCCAAGGAGCCCCAGGTTGTCAGGTGCACTTGAACCGAGGGAGCCTTCCCTTCGGGCCCGCCAACCAAAGATCCCCTAAACCCTTGGGCTTAAAGGGAAATCCAGAAAGTTGGAATATGGTTTCAGGGTAGGATACCCTATAATTTACCTTAAAGGGGTTACCATAATGATATTCCAACTTTCTGGCTTCTACTGTAGGGTTTAGGGCTTAGGGTTTAGGGCCGGCTTTGGGTTCAGGATCTGTTTTGAAAGTGCCTTTTTAGTGTCTGCACGAAGGGTTTAGGGCTTAATTAGGGCTTGAACTTTGAAACTCGCACTGTCTACGCTCTTCAACCCTTCAAGGTTTAAAGCGCTCAACGTTTTGAGCCCTCAAACCTTCAGATCGGACCCCGATGCTCTAGAACATGTAGATGCTAGACGCTCCAAACCCTTAAGCCCGAAACCCTGAAACCCTAAACCCTTAAGCCCGAAACCCTGAAACCCTGAAACCCTAAACCCTTAAGCTCTGAACCATAAACCCTTAAACCCAAAACCCCTGAAGCTCTAAACCCTAAACCCTCAAACCCCAAACCCCTGAAGCTATAAACCCTAAACCCTCAAACCCTAAACCCCTGAAGCTCTAAACCCTAAACCCTAAACCTTCAAAGCCTGGGGCCCTGAAACAAGGCAAAGGCGCCACCGATCCGCCGAGGCCTACGTGGCTTGTGCCCGTGCAGATGCGAGCCGGCAGGGGCCTCGCACCCAAGACCTGCAGTGGGGTTAAAGGGAACTCCAGAAAGTTGGAATATGGATTAATGGTAGGATCCCCTATAGTTTACCTTAAAGGGGTTAGGATAATGATATTCCAACTTTTTGGCTTCTACTGTAGGGGTTTAGGATTTCGGGTTTAGGGTCGGGGTTTGGGGTTTAGGGCTTAGGGTTGGGCTTCGGGTTCAGGGTTGTTTCCCAGGGTTTGGGGCTTAGGGTTTATGGTTTTGTATTAGGGTTTATGTATGGTTTGGCGCTTAGGGTTTAAGATTATTTATTAGGGTTTAGGGTTTAGGGCTTTCTCATTAGAGCTTAGAGTTTGGGGCTTAAGGTTTAGGGCTTCGATATTTCGAGTTTCTGCTGGGGTTTACATAAGGT